GAGCCCCCTACCCACCCATCCCCCCCCTCCAACCCCCCTACCTCCCCCCCTCTCACCCTGAGAGTCCCGCTCTTCACGATGACGGTGGCCACGACACCCAATCCTCGCTCCAACCGGGATTCGATCACAGAACCACTGGCGGGACCCTCGCGGGGAGCTCTCAAGTCCATAAGCTCAGCCTGGAGGTCCAGGGGGGGGGCGGTGGCGGCAGTTGGCGCTTGACGGATGGCAGTTGGGTCGCAGGTGAACGGCAACCAGGGTAATCAGAGTCATCCAAATGTACGGCAACCCCCCAACCCAAGCATACACCCCAGGTGACATGCGGTAACCCCCCATTTTCCACCCCTAACCCCCCAGGTGTATATAAACCTGGTCTGGTGGCGCCTTTGTGAATACGAAGGTTCCGGGTTCGATTCCTGGACAGACCCCCGACATTGTTCGGGAGGTCTAGGTTTACTAACGCTGCTGAAGTGTGGAGATAAGGTCTAGTTGATGGACTAAATTTCGCATACCGAGATGGTGGTGACGGCTGGCCTGTCTCTACGGATATGAGGAGGGGTCTAGGTAGCAGGACTCAAACCGCCGTCGGTTGTACGGTGGAATCAACTATCAATGTACATGTAGTCCATGACCCCCCGGCTTTGACGGACACCCGACCCCGCACTCCTGCGGCACTTGTAACTGATAACCACCTGGAGCAGTAGCGCCTCCTCCAGCTCCCTCAGGCCCTCCCCGGAGGTGGCCGAGGTGTGGACCACCTAAATCCCCGGGGGGAGAGAGGGGTTTGGGTTAGGGTTTGGGTTTGGGTTTGGGTTTAGGAGGGGGTGGCCAGGTGAGGTGTTGTGAGGTGGGTTAGGAGGTGGGGAAATCACATGAAGAAGACCATTATCCCCCAGAAAAAACAACAATCAACTAAAATAGAAAGATGTGTATGTATGTATGTATGTATGTATGTATGTATGTATGTATGTATGTATGTATGTATGTATGTATGTATGTATGTATGTATGTATGTATGTATGTATGTATGTATGTATGTATGTATGTATGTATGTATGTATGTATGTTACAGCCCTGAATGTTGACCGCCCTCGCGTCATGTGCACAGACATGCATACAGACGCACCTGCACGGTCCCGCCGAAGTCCTCGAGATCCAGTCCCTCCGCCGCCAATTGGGCCTTCACCATGTCGGGACGGGCCTTATGAAGGAAACGGGGGGAGGGGGGGCCGGGGGGGTGGGGGGTGGGGGAGGAAGGGGGGAAGGGCAGGAGGAGGAGGGGTGAAAGGTGAAAGGTGAAAGGTGCGAAATGATATAAACGTTTCGTCGCGAGGGACATAAAAGGAAAAGGAATGCAATTAGGGACGGGGGCGCTAATGAATACCTGTGAATGCGTGTGTGCGGTTTGTGTATGTGCGTTGTGTTTGTCGGCTTTGGGGGAAAGGGAGGGGGAAGAGGGGGAAAGACGAACCACGGGAGGGGAAAGGGGGGGAGAGGAAAAAAATCATTTCCCGAGTGCAAAACTTCCGACATACACACACACATACAAGTACACACATACACACACTCCCTCTCTCGACTACACTACCCAGCACTAAGTTACACGACACGACACACGTACGGCCGTACACCGTACCGTGGGTTTGTCGCACTTAGTAATGGCCACCACTACAGGACACCCCGCCGAACGCGCGTGCGCCAGGCCCTCCCGGGTCTGGGGTTTCACCCCCTCGTCCGCCGCCACCACCAACACCGCAATATCTGTTACGGCGGCCCCGCGAGCCCGCATTGCTGAGAAGGCCTCGTGCCCCGGCGTGTCGACAAACGTGATGGCGGCGGGGGAGGAAGGGGAGGACTGCGGAGGCAGGGGGCGAGGAGGAAAAAGCGGAGGCGGAGGCGGATGGTAAGGTAGATGTGGGATTGGGGTGTGTGGCGGCGGGGGGGGGGTAAGAGGTGGCGCGGGGGCTAAGAGCGGCGGCGAAGGGAAAAAGAGGAGCCCCCCACGCTCTCCAAACACACCAGAAGTCGGCGGACTCCCATTTTGTTGTAAGTGGATCTGGACCTGAATCTGAATCTGGACTTGGATCTCGACCTGGATCCGACCCCGAACCTGGATCCGCTACACACACCACGCCACATCTCGCACACGTTTCTCCCCCACTTGCCATCTCTCCCCCTCCACACACACACACGCGTACACCCCCTCACCCCTTCCCCCTCACCCCTTCCCCCGCATCCCCCCCATACCCATGCATCCCAGTCCCACCTCAGCTGCCGTACTCGTCGCCAGCCGTACTTCAAACGCGCCAATGTGCTGCGTGATTCCCCCCGCCTCCCCCGCCGCAACCGCTGTGGACCTCAGCGCATCCAGCAGGGAGGTCTTGCCGTGATCCACGTGACCCAGAATGGTCACGACGGGCTGGCGGGGTTCCATAGCGCCGGAGGAGGTGGGGGAACCTGCGGGGGGGGGTGAGTGAAGGGGGGGGAAGGAGCCGTGTGTGTTTTGGGTGTGGTGCCTCGTGCTGGGGTTTTAGGGTTTCGGGGGTATTTTGAGGGTTTGGGGATTTCTTTGTGTGTGATGTGGAACATTAAAACGGGGAGGACATTAAAACACACACACATACATACATACATACATACATACATACATACATACATACATACATACATGTATGTTGTTACAGGGTGGTCAACTTCGCCAGCGGCCCCCTTTCCCGGGGCAGTCCCTGCTCTCCCCTGCTAGAGGGGCACCCTAATCCGTCACCCCATCCGACTTCAGAATGTATTCGTTGGGTTCGGCAACTCACCACCAGCATCCAACCAAATCTAGCGGATCAACGGCGCATCAACTTAGTTCCTGGTCAGCTCGCAAGTTGATATTATCACGTCCTACACCGTCCATAAGATGGGGGGCCACCTCCCATTTCATCACTCCTCAAACACCCGAGGAGCCGGCAGGCGGATTTGAACCCGGGTCGACTGGGTCGACTGGGAGCAGAAGTCAGGCCTTAACCTCTGCCAGCCGCCACATACATACATACATAATTACATAATTACGTAATTACATACATACATACTCCCATCGGCTCTTACCGTCTCGTTTGACGATTCCCAGCTTTCCGAACTCCAGCGCCGCCAGCTCCGCACTTTCCGGAGCGACCTCCTCACGATCAGATCTCACCACCTCACCCAGCTGGTCTCGGAGGAAGGTCTCCAACCTGGGGGGGGAAGGGGGGAAGGGGGAAAGACGAACCAAACACGATTGAAGCTGCTGCCAGGGCAAGAGTGTATCAAACGTAGAACTGATTGAAAGGCGTCCGTGAAGACTGCGACCTCGGGATGACGAAGTGAAGAAGGGGGGAAAGAGGGCGTGCGTGTGTATGTTTGGGTGTGTTTGGGTGTGTTTTTATGACCTGCGTCGCCAGCGTGTGTGTATGTGTGTGCGTGCGTTTTCTGGCAAGCAATTTGGAGGCCTGAGGCGCACGGGCGGACGCACGGCAGCGTGCGTGGGTTGTGTGTATGTGCATGTCTTGTGTTCATGTCTGTCTGTCTGTCTGTCTGAATGCGTGCAGAACGGCGGGGGGAATCGCATGATGTGGCACGACGACCCATTCGGAGGCCGGGTGAATCCGGGGGAAAGAGAAGATAAGGGGATGTACGGCGAAAAAGTACGGCATAAAAGTCAGCTGCCGTACGATTTTGCGCAATGTAGCAGCCCCAACAACCTCGCACCCCCTTGTCGTACCCTGCCGTACCTCGTGGTGGTGATTCCCAGCAAGGCTGAGAGACCTCGAACCGTCACACCCTCCGGAATGAGAACCTGCCCTCGGGGGTATTTGGCGGCGGGGATCGGGGGTAAAACCGTGTGTGGGGAGGTAATGCAGGGGGGCAACAAACCCGTGGAAAGAAGGGACGCGGGAGGAATTGCGAATCCCGCGCGCGATGTGAAAAAACTTTGAAACTCGCCTTTAGGGCCTCCACGGCCCCTTTGACATCTTGGAGTTGTCATATCATAAGTGAACATATTTATTCCTTTTGTGCAGTTTGTTTCAAACAGATATTTACATATATATACCATGGCTGGTACATTTCTTTCCCGCCTTTTCGCTACCCTCTTTTTACGCTCCGAAACCACACCTGTTGAGGCTCTCCGAAGAGTATCCTCCGTCCGGAAGTCGTGGGCGGCATGAGGGGGCTGGGGCTGACAGCAGCGGCGGCGGCGGCGGATCCCCGCGGATCCAGCGCCGCCGACGTCTCGTCCGTGTACGACTCCGCGGCGGCAGCGGCGGCGGCCTGGCCGGCGTTGGCTGCTGTGCCGTACAGCGATGCCATGCTGCGAGCCCAGTCCTCTTCACCTGCAGCTGGTTCCAATACTTGCAAACGGCGATTGCGTACCCCCATGCCGCCGCCTGCTCCCGCATCCGCCGCCGCCGGCCATTGGTACGACGGTTCCCGTCGGCCGCCGCCGCCGCCGCCGCTTGTCCAAAACGGCGACGCCGACGGCTGCAGCGGTAAAACCGGATCCGAAACGCCGGGCACGCCGCCGCCAGCCGGCGTTTGAATTTGAATTTGGGAAAGCAGCTGTCGGATGGCCTCTTCCGTGCTCGACGGCGATGGCGCCACCGGCCCTGCCTCCGCCACTGCCGTAAAGACGCCCGGAGGAATCAACGGCCCGGTATCCGCCTCCGCTGCCGTCGCCTCCAGAGCTTCCGCTTCCGCTGCCGCCGCCGCCGCCGCCCGCTCTTCTTCTTTCTGCTGGCGCCGGCGCTCCAGAGACGCCCTAACATCCGCAAACCTGGCGGCAGCCTCCGCCGCCAGCGGGCTCCGGATCAGGTCTAGTAGGCTACGAGAACTGTCCGCCGCCGCCGGCGCTGCCACTCCCGTTACCTCCGCCGCCGCCGCCGCCACCGCCGCTTCAAGCTGCTGTCCCATCCCGTTCTCCGCCGCCGCTGCCGCCGCCGCCTCCACTGCTTCAGGATGCTGTTGCCGTCCGCCGGCGTCGACGGCGAGAGCTTCGACATCCACCATCGACGGCATCGCCGCTGCCGCCGGCAAGGTTGACGGAAGGTGTGGCGGCGGCGATGAAAGCGGGCCAGCTACCATCTCTGCGGTCGTACGGACTGCTGCCTCCGCCTCCGTCACCGCCACCTCCGTCGCTGCAGCGGGGGCTGCATCCAGCACAGGCAGCCGGTTCCTCAGCTCCGCCACAACGCCGCCGCCCTCCTCCGCCTCCACCGCCTTCTGCATCTCCGCCACATCGCTGCGCTCCGCATGCCGTACCGTCGTACCTTCGCGCTGCGGGCGAACCGTCCACATGGACCACAACGCCTCCATCCAGAAACCTCGTTCCGGACCCCGGCTGCTGGCGATTGCAGCCTCCGCCACCGCTGCCGCCGCCTGCGGCGGCGGCGGCGACGCTGCCGTACCGGCTACCACATCCGCTGCACCAAGCTCCGCCGTCGCCGCCGTCAACGACTGGCCCAAGAAGGAATCTGCCTGCGCCGTCGGCAACGTGGCCGCCGCCGGCGGCGACGTCGGCGGCGGTGCAACCTCTCCAATCCAAATATGCTCCTGCTGTTGCTCCTCCTGCTGCAGCTTCAGCTGCTGTGACGGCTGCCGCGCCGACGGTGACGAATGCCGTACTGCGTCCCGGATCCCCTGCTGTAGCGCAGGAAGGCTCCACGCCGACATGGCTAGTCGCAGGGCGCCCAGGCGGCCCCTCCAGGATGTCGCATGGGCGGCAGTGGCCGCCTGCGGGTGGGGGGAGGGGGACAGAGTGGTGAAATCACAATCAACAGAACTGGAGAGACGGAGGCGGAACAAGGCACGACGATGCGGTGGACGTAGCGACCTAACGGCCGCGAGCGCACAGCGCGCACCTGCCGGCTTTGCGGCTGCGCGGGGCGGTTGAAGACGAAATGCGTGTCTTTGTGGAATAATGCCCGGCGTACACTAGTGCACGGGCTAAGTACGAACGTGACCTCGCGTTTCAAGGGCGCAACATGCGCACGATCATCATGACCGAGGCACCACCCCTTGGGCGCACTAGCCAGGTTCCTCTCGGAAGTCTGGGAGACCCGGCACGTCGTTGCTCTTAGGCGCTTCATCCTGAAGCGGACGAGGGAGGACGATGATGACCTCCCCCCGTAACCGCATCAATACCAATACAACGTCCTTGGGCCCCTCCCCCCGGTTGTTTTACGGACACACCCGCACTTGTGTGCGGAACTTGAAACTTGTAACTTATAACTTATAACTTGTAACTTGTAGCCTCTAACATAGCGGAAACGATTATATAACTACGACTCATAGCAGCAAACAACAACAACAGCAGCAACAACAACGCTCGGGGGCGGCAATCGACTTCCGGCATCCAACGCAACACCCGAGACGAGATAAAGTCTGCGGGGGCCCCCGGGGGGAAATTACTGTGTGTTTGCCAGCCTGTGCACGTTCCTGCATGCAGTGGTGGTGGCTGGCGTCTTCTTCTGGCCGCCACAGCAGGGGGGTGAGGGTGGTGGCGGGGGAGAAAGCGACAGGATGGGGATCGAGTGACCATGCAAGCGCAGGTTGTTTGTTGTGGCTGGTAGTAGTTGGTTGGTTGTTGCCGGTTGACGGTTATGACAGGAACGGAATCTCACCTCCAGTGCGGCATCCCTACCCCCCAGGTAGGGTTCGTCGTCCGCGGGCGAGTGCGTGAGCGCATCGTCGCAGTAGCAGCTCGATGGCTTGGCAGTAGCAGCTGCAGCTACAGGGGCACTACTAGTAGCGGTAGCAGTAGCAGCCACATCACTCGGTACGACAGTTTCTATTGCTGTTAATGTTGTTGTTGGTGGTGATGTTGGCACGATATTGGAGGTCAGGGCCGCAGACGACCCGCCAACGGCGGCAGCGGCGGCATCAGATCGTACGGCATAGGCAGATGGCCCCGTGGCGGCGTGCGGCAGCCGTTCAGGAACCTCAATACCGACGGCTTCCGCCGTCGCGGCCGTCTCCGCCGCCGCCGCGTGCTGACGCGCCTGAATCCACAAGGGCGCTTCTGGGGACGACGCCACGACTGCCTCTGGGGCCGCCGCGGCGGCGGCAGCGGCGGCGGCGGTCGTTGCTACTGCTTCGTCTTGTCCTATCATTGCGTACGGCAGCTGTTGTTGCTGCTGTTGCTGCTGTGGGTGGTGCAATTGTTCAGGAAGCTGCTGCTGCTGCTGACGAAGCTGCGCCAGTCGAAGCCCTATTTCACGGGTCCCAGCCAAATGCACCGCCGCCGCCGTCGACGTCGACGTCGCCGCCGTTGACGTCGGCGTCGGCGTCTCCTCAGCCATCGTCTTGGGAGGGCTGACAAGGCGTTCCCGAAGAGGCGATCCCCTTCCTAGGGCTCGCAGCAGCAGCTCGGATTGTTTGCCGTACTGCTGCTGCCGATCCTGCTGTGGCAGCTGCTGCTGCTGCGGCGGCGGCTGTTGGGGTGGTCGAGCCAGGCGTGACATCGCAAGGCCCTTCAACGCACCAACGTCGCCGCCGCGCCTCGACGCCGCCAGCGCCGCCAGGCCATTACCCTTGGACGACATCGCCGCGGCGGCGGCGGCGGCCGCCGCCGCCGCCACGCTCTCCTCCACCTCCGCCGCCTGCCAATCTATACGCTGTCGCGCAGCTGACGTATTAGCATCTAGGCCGTGCCGTACGGCATGGGCGACGGCGGGAGCGAACCGCAGGGCCGTGGGGTTGGGTGACGTCAACCGTGCACCGGCAGGCGCCGCCGCTGACGAACGCGGGGCTGCCGAAGCTGCTGCGGCCGCCGAGCCATCCTCACGTGCTGTGGCGGCGGCGGCGGCGGCGGCGGTAACCGCAGCTTGTTGAAGCCGCAACCGATAGGCATGGTGTACGGCAAGGGACTTATGCGCAATACGCGATAACGTGTGCGCGCGAGACGAGTCGATCCTCAAAGCGGCACGGCCCTGCGGCGGCGGCGAGTGCGCCGCGGCGGCCTCGCCATCGGCGGCATCCGCAGCGCTGCCGCTGCCGCCAACGGCTGTTGCAGCGGCAATGTCGCTCAGCCCAGTCTGCGCGACCAACACCGAGCGCGGCGCGCCGTCGCCGCCACTGACGTCACCGGTGTCGTACACGTTCCGGAGCCGCGGCAGCTGCGCCTCGTGAGCGCCGTCGTGGGCCATTGAAGACGCCAGGGCGTTGATCAGGTCCTGAACATCAGCGTCGACGCCGGCACTGGCGCTGGTGGCGGCGGCGGCAGCGTCCAGCGTCACTACCGCCTCTGCCGCTGCCGCCGGCGCGGCGGTACGTCCGCTGCTGGCGGGCAGCCAGGCCGCCGTCGGAACCGGCGCCGGCAGCGGATCCTCCCCCAGAAGCGCCGCCAACCTATCCGCCTCCTCAGCAGGCCCGAATTCCGCTGCTTGAAGACCTTGACGGCTCTGTGCCGGATCCGTATAACAGCTGCTTTCACTGCCGCCAGCGGCGTCGCTTCCTCCCGCCAATCCGCCGCCAGTGCCGCCGCCGCCGTCGCTGCCGCCGCCTGTATCCCTGCTACCCCCCACGTAGAGGAAGCCTGCTGACTGCTGGGGGGGCCCCCTGGAGGCGCGGTGTGGCTCTGGGTAGGCAGCGGAGGCCATCGATGCGACATGGCCGGCAGGGTTGGCCCGGCAAGGAAAGGGCCCCGAGGGGGAGGCGGTAGTCCTGCGGCCCTTAGAGAGCGGATCCAGGCAGCCTAGGCGACCGACGGAACATGACGCCGCGGGGGTATTAGCATGGCGAGGGGAAGGGAGGAAGTGAAAGGCAGTCTCCTCGCCTGCTGCTGCAACCGGGCCTCCATGGCCGCAGTGGTAATGGTGGACAAGGCCCGAGGCAAGGGAGTCTATATGGATGGGGGATGGTTGCGTGGGTGCAATGGGTGAAGTGGGCCAGTGTGTTTGGGCAGCTGTGCTGCCTTTCCGCGAGGTGATGTGCTGTACAGCGGCCGGCATCACGTCGGTGTTGAGAGTGTTCGGAGCTCCCCGGTGAAAAGCAGCTGGACAGGGCTTCGTGCTTGATACATCTGTACAGTTTTGATAGCTCGTAACTATGGGCTCGTTGCTGCTTTGCAGCAGTTCCGGTGTTGTTACGCCATCGGCGCCGCCAGCTGCCGCGCGAGCTGGAGTGGATAGTACGTCTGTGACTGAGAAAGCAGGCCCCCGAAGGCTGCCCGAGCAGCCGCGGTGGAGGAGTGGCCCCCTCATCGGTGCTTGATTAACAACAATCTAAACTGAACGGGACACGAAAGCATCGGAGAATAACATTTTTCTTTTAAAAATCAAAGCAAAGCGTGTAATGTGCTAATAGAATGATCCACAAAATGGTTTCTATCGTGGCGGCATTGAGGTACAAACATAGTCATGACGCTCCTACGGTTTGCTACATGGTGGTTATCATTAAATGGTTTTTACGGGAAAGGATTATAACACTTCAGACGATGCAGACTGGCGTACGCTGGTGAAGAAATTGCATACCTTCTAGCTGTCTGACGATTGAGGATAACTTTTGTCGCTAATACTACAAGTGTTAAATAGGTATAAATCTATTAAACGCAAGCGTTGAAGCATCAGGCTACGTCGGGAGCTCTTCCAAAATGCCATTTTTAGGCTCGGAAAACAGGCGACAACATGTTGGTGAGTATCCTTGACTCTTTTAAAAGCACCAGTAATTATAGAGCGCTACCCGTCATGAGGTGGGTAGACACAAAAGCTCATACATCCGAACCTCCACCACACAAGCTCATCTCCTGCACTTCCCCTGTATGCGAACATATTCACTTTTACTCTTACAGCTACAGTTGCCAGATCTTGCGATCATTCGCCGCTCCGCCCTTTCTCCGTTCTCTGCTACACCCGCTCCCAACCCGCAAACAGGGCTTTCCTAGCCTAAACCACCAAGCGTTTGTCGTAGCTAGGGTTGCCTCTGACTGTTCCACAGGCGCGTTGACTTTGGCGCCTCCTCTCACAATATTCCTTAGCCTGTCTTACCCTATCCATGTTGGGGCCTCTAGGCACAGCGACTGATCCCTCCTTCGACACAGGCTACATGCCATGCGTCGTGTACATAATTTTCACATCAAACCTTTATCACCATCCGCCTAACCTCTTTCCCAAAAGCAGGTACAACGATTCGACATCCCCTCCTGACCCTCTCCCCTCACGCCAGCTACCAGCTACCAGCACTGCAGCCACTCTCCACCTTTCCCTTTCCTCTACCCCCCTAACAACTTCTGCAAATGCATTTCTCTGGCTGTACAACCACCAAATAACCACTACACAACGACCGTACGACCAATATCCTCCATATCCCCAAGGCCTCGATTAACCGCCTCGATTAATATCCCCCCACTCTCTGCTCCCCACCGCACCCCCCTACCACCTGCCGTACTCCTGCCGTATTCCTCTTATGCCGTACGCAGGCCTTGAAAAATATAAAATCGTCCACCATGATTTCAACCACTTCACCCTCGGCCCAGCGAAAGGCAAATCCGCGGCCAATAAAATGGCCTTCACGCTCGTTGAGCCGGAACAGATCCAACCCTCCTTCAATGTGCTGTATGTTCGTACTCAGCGGCCGGCGATACTTAGGACGCGGCTTGTACAGGCAAGTAGACGTTTTGCAGCTCCTTACGTCCTTCCAGTTCATCAACCGCCTTGCCCGACGTAAAGATAAACCCGTGCAATGTTCAAAACCTTTTAATTCCCCTACACCGCACCATTCGGTGGAAGTTGGAAAATCCAAATTTTGATTTTTTTTTCGCGAGGTACTCGCTTTCAAGGTTTTGTTTTCGAGTTCGTTTGGTCGACGCCGGATAAAAGGTTACACACATGCATGCACACACACACACACACACACACACACACACGCGATCGCTCCAATCTCCTTTCCCCCTCCCCTGCAAAGGCATTTCTCGACACGTGGGCGGAGGCGGTGGAGCTTGTGCGGCCTGTGTTCAGATTCGGCATCCCCGAGTCGTCCTTGCGGGACAAATGCAAGTACTGGCGGTGAGACGGTGGTGGTGGTGGTGGTGGTTGCTGCTGCCGGTTGTGGGAAGTTGTAGTAGCAGTGGAGAACGACCTTGGTAGCTGGGCTGTGTCTGGCTGGCTTGGACAGGGGGCAGGGCGGGGTAGGGCAGGGGGGAGGGCAGGGGGGAGGGCAGGGGGGAGGGCAGGGGAGGGCAGGGGAGGGCAGGGGAGGGCAGGGGGGAGGGCAGGGGAGGGCAGGGGAGGGCAGGGGAGGGCAGGGGGGAGGGCAGGGC